TACGTAATTATTTTGTTATGTAAAATATTATTGGGCACTATCTCCATCGCGCAACGCGCGACAAAAATACTAGTACAAATACATGTAGCAAAGAGTTACACCAACACTTTATAAATTCCCAAAAGGAAATAACCTTCATTGGCTATTATAATATTTTAGATTAGATTAAATACACACACACATAGGGAAGAGTTCAAATAAAAAGTGTTATTCCCGCGCAAAGTGCGAAATTTTCACTTTTGCATGTTTCGCTTGCACATTTGCTTGTTTCCGTTGCACTTTTGCACAATTGCGATTTTTGTCAAATTCGGACGAAATGACGGTGACAGCTTTGTAAATAACCTGGTTTTTTTCACCACTGCGAAAAAGTGCAACGAGAACAAGAAAACGTGCAATCGAAACATTAAAAAGTGCAAATTTCGCACTTTGCACGAGAATACCACTTTTTATTTGAACCATCCCGTATATATATATATATATATATATATATATATATATATATATATACATATACATATACATAGGGATGAGTTCAAGTAAAAAGTAATCTTCCCATGAAAAGTGAGAACAAATTTTGGCCTTCCATCACTTGAAAATGGATGGATTAGATGAACTTTAAACACAAGAGATAGTTTCAAAAAATGTGCAAACGTTTATACTATAAAGTGGATAGTTATTGATTAAAAGTGTACTCATGCGAATCAAAAAAGATTGTCAAAATTTTCCATCTTGTACACTTTTTATTTTGTATCGTATTGCACTTTTGTGCTCTATGTGTGCACTCTTTGACTATTCTGATGCACATTTGTCACAATATTTTCAAAAAAAATTCTCCATAATTACAAAAATGCCACCGTGTTTCCAACTTAAAAATTGATCTCTTCCACCCATTTTATCACATCAATGACCAAGATTAGTTCTTATTTTTCACCTAGGAAGTACTTTTTATTTGAACCAAATTCTATATACACATATATATATATATATATATATATATATATATATATATACACACACACATATATATATATATATATGTGTATATATATGTATATATATAGGGTTAAGATCGGATACAAAGTATGCTTCCCTTACAAAATGCAAAATCATCACATCCGTTCAATTTGGTAAATCAAGGGGCAATATTTTTTTTTTTTGAGCATTAAAAGACAGCTGTATTAGTGGGGGAGATTTTTATTCTCTTACCACTAAATACGGAGCATCAATTATAGAAGGAGGTTCCAATCTTGACCATTATTTCATTAATATGGATGGCTAGGATTAGTTTGCACTTTGTAAATTAGGATTAGTTTGTATGTGATCTTATATATATATATATATATATATATATATATACACACACACACACACACACACACACACACACAGAAAAGATCAGGTCCCTCCGGGGGGACAGGAGGGACCGTCCGAACTTTACTGTTTGGGGCGGTTCCCGGTGGAATTTTTTGATGAAATTTTTTGAGCATGTTCCTCATCAAGTCTAGTTTGTCCATACCAAATTTCAGCTCAAAATTCGACCGGGAAGGCAGTCAAATAAATTCTTGAAGCTTACTGCACATTCTGCGCATACATATATATATATATATAGGGTGCGGTTCCGGTGAGAAGACATGCTTGGGTGAGAAATGAGAAGCAATCTGGATGATTTAATCGTGTGACATATAGAAGATGTACTAGATGCATTGTAAAATAGGAAAGAAATAATAGGAAAGAAATAATAGGAAAGAAATAATTGATGTTCAGGACTTTTTAAGAAAAAGTAAAACACTATAAACACTAACTATATATATATATATATATATATATATATATGTATATATATATATATATATATATATATACACGCACACACTTTGCTTTTCTATTAAGCCCTCTTTTTAAAAAAATTAAAAGCTTTTTCCTTCCTAATTAAGTTTCAATGTAGTTAATGCATGAAAGGAGTTTCAAAAAGTCCTGAACATCAATTATTTCTTTCCTATTATTTCTTTCCTATTTTACAATGCATCTAGTACATCTTCTATATGTCACACGATTGATATATTAAACCATCCAGATTGCTTCTCATTTCTCACCCAAGCATGTCTTCTCACCGGAACCGTACCCTATATATATAGAGAGGGGGGGGGGGGGGGGGGGGTTTCATGTCCGGTACATCCATAGAAGCAAAAACGAATCAAACCTATCTGCTAGATTTAAAAGAAAAATAATGTACGACCCAGATTAAATTAGAGAAAAGCACTCATGAAAGTCTTGATACCAGCGAAACAAGCCTTCCCTCTTTATCTTCTCGACTTCAGCTTCATCTTCCTGCCAAAATCTGCCGAAAAAATTAGTTGAGTGAATAAGTTTTCTTTACTTTTGCTAATTAAATATATTCTTTCCAGATTTCCCCACTCTATTGTTCCGCATCTGTAATATTCCGTATAATTGATTACACTTCGTATTATTGAATACTCCTCTCTGCATCTGTAATTGATTTTTTTTAATGATTTTCCTATGCTTTCTTTTTTTAAATTATGATTTCCCGGCTATTCATCATGTCTAGATAAAGTTGTAAGCTCAGGCTATGTTTGGCGGACATAAGTCTCTAACTTCTGGCTTTTGTACTATTTAAAAAGTCTCTAAAAGTTGCTAGTTGTTTGTTTGGCATGCCGAATTTTAAGAGCTTATCAAAAAATAAAAGATCTTTTTTGAGATGTTACAGGTAGTAGCATCTGAGAAAAGCATGTGGCTTTTAGCTTTAATTAATCCTAACAGCTTGTATACTCCCTCCGTAACTTTAAAATCTTCCCACTTTCCTTTTTCGTCCGTAACAAAAAAATCTTCTCATTTCTAAATTTTCCCATTATACCCTCAATAATTTTGAAAATAATACACTATTACAACTACTTTTTTTGGATTTATCCTACATTCCATCACCTTATTCCACTATCTTCCTATCATACCCTCAATAATTCATATTCTCTTTTACTATTCTTAATCTACCTACTTTTCAAATGGGAAGATTTTAAAGTTACGGAGGGAGTACTAAACAGAACTAAATCAAACAGACAGCTTTTTACCAAACAACTACCACTTTTTACTTTTAAGATCTTTTCAGTCACTAAAAGCTATCAGTTACTAAAAAGTTCACAAAAAGTTCACTAAGGGCTAATTTAAATATGAATTATTCAACTCCAATTTTGTCTCAAAATAATTCAACCTTTTAATATTATACAGAATGGTGTATCCAGGAATTTCCGTGAGTGGGGGCGAACTCATGCTATAAATTCATTGTCTCAAAAACTTCACAAACAATGAAACAAATTAAAAATATATCGTAAAATTATCTATTATTATGGACCGTATATATCACTTATTGGACATTATATTGATTAGTCTAATTATGTCATGAAATATTCTATTTTTGGACTATCTTTATTATCTTTCCTTTTAAACTAGGTAGTCCTCTCTTATAAGAACAGATTGTATACTCGTTTCAGAAAGCAGAATAATAATATTACTTTCCAGTCTATTTCACTTCTTATCATATATAAAAAACAAAATATTTGTTCAATAAAAAAATTATGATCGATATCATACTTAATAAATTTCACTATGTCAGTAATAAACAAGCTAAGTCACAAAATTTTTATTTTATTTCATACTCCCTCCGCCCCGAAATAACTTTCGTACTTTCCTTTTCGGTCCGCTCTAAAATAATTATCATGTTTTCTCTTTTGGCAATAATGTCTAGCTCATATTAATTCACATTTTTCTACTCAAATCTCAACCACAACTTAATTTTACCTTTTCAATCAATTCTTAAAACTTGTCCTAAAGCAAACAAGACGTTTATTTCGGGATGGAGTGAGTATTATGTTAATAAATAATGAATCATATAAGGGAGGGATGTATTTTAAGAATTAATTTAAGTTGTGGATATATAAGTATATATAGTAAAACAAATGTAGAAAATAGTTTATACTAATTGCAAAAATGACATGAATGAACTTGAAATATATGTGAAACTAAAATTAAAACTACATTAAAATATTTTAAATCTTACAAATGTATAATAACCACTTAAATTCATTCAAAAGATTCAAAAGGACCAAAATGAGACTTATTAAATAGGGAAAACTGTCAAATAGGTCCTCGAACTTTCACGAAAAAGTCAATTAAGTCCTTCTATAAGAGGTTTTGAAAACTAAATTAGACACGTTGTAAAACTACCGCTAGAACTAGGGGTGGACTCGGGCCGGGCGGCCCGACCCGGAACCGGCCCGGCCCGGCCCGGTTACTGTTTGGCCTGGCCTGGCCCGGGGCCCGGTGGGTCCATCGGTTCGGTTTGGCCCGGCCCGGGTGATGGGCGGTCCGGGCTCGGGCCCTGCTTTAGGTGAACCGGCCCGGCCGGTTCGGGCCCGGTCCGGGCCGGATTTTAATTTTTTTTTTTTGAAATTTTTTTAAGTTTTGGGTTGGATTAGGTATTTTGGGCCATTTGAGGTGGTTTGGGGTGGTTTGGGAGGGGTAGGGGGTTAAATAGGAGAACCAAAATTAAAAAAAAAAATGGACCGGTTTGGCCCGGCCCAGGTTTGGCCCGGAACCGGAACCGGCCACCGGCGGTTTGGGCTCGGGCCCTAGTTTTCTGGCCCGAGGCCCGGCCGGGCCCAGGCCCGAACCGGGCCCGAACCGGCCCGAGTCCACCCATAGCTGGAACAGACGTTACTTTGTTTACAAACACTATACTTAAAAAAAAAAAGCATTTCTCAGCTTTTGGCTTAAAAAAACACTTATTTACCAAGCACTACCAATTTTTACTTTGTATCGGCTTGCGTGTGAAAAGTGATTTTCCCCTTTCTATTACACAAAAGGCACTTATTTTACCAAACACTATCAACTTTTACTTTTCAAAATCACTTTTTTCTCAAACACTATCAACTTTTCCTACTAATCACTTTTTCCTTACATCTCCAAAAGTGCTTTTTTTAAGCAGAAGCAGTTGCAAACACTCCCTTAGTTTATAAGACCTTCATATGCAGCACAAAAAAAATATAATTGTAGATTAAATACATATGTATATTAGGAGTAGGGTGGGGGTTGAGTGGGGACAGCTGCCCCCTGCCCCCATGTTGGATCCGTCCCTTATTATACATGAATACGTCTAACCCCAAACATAATTTCTAACCCCTTCACTGCCCCTACAATGTTAAACCAACATCATGCCCCCCTTACATCTAATATTCTCCAATTCTATTCTTTCAACGATTTTAAAGGGAGAACATAATGAGTTGTGGTTCCTTCAACATTGGATCAGAGAATTTAGGGTAATCATCTTTCAAGGGCAATTGTCCCTTCCACGTGAGAACATAGTCGACAAGACACAAGCCCTCCACCACCCTTTTCTACACATTATAAAATTAGACAAAGTTAATACATACGGAGTATATGTCAAATATTCTCAAAATTATGGACAAAATTATGTAATGACAAACTAATGTAATAGTAATAACTAGGGAAAAGAACTAGAAAAGTATATGTGGTTTGAGTCATTTTATGATAGGGGCACATGTTTCATTTTTTAACAAAGTAGAACATGTGTTTCCATTTCGTTATAATACGGGGACATCACGTCTAACGCCGTTAGAAATCCTCAGAGGAAGATGATGAATAGTAACTCTGATTTTGAAAAGGGCAAAAAAAATTAAAAGAAAAATATAGGAAGATGTGTCTCGTCAAGGAGACCTCCAAACCATATTGATCTTTGGATTTTTTGGCTTTGTTTGGATTTTTTTTTTTTTAAAAAAAATGAATTCGCTAATATCACTTTTTAGGTGGACTTTCTCACGACAAGAGTGACTGGAAATGAAAAAGAAAGATGTCAGGAGATCTCCTTGACGAGATGCATCTCCTAGTAATTTCTTTTAATTTTTCGGGCACTTTTGAACATCAAAGTTACTATTCATTGTTTTCCTCCAGCAATTTCTAACGGTGTTAGGCGTCATGCTCTTGCTGTGATAATGGAATAGAAACACATGCCCTACTTTATTAAAAAAAAATGAAACACATTCCCCTATATGAAAACAACCCAAATCACAAGTATTTTTTCGTACTTTTTGCTAATAAGTATTATAGGTATTACTACTACTTCTATAGCTATGGTTATAGCTATATAGGCATATAGCTCTAGCTCTATGAGTATATTAATAGTAATAGTAACAATAACAATAAAAATAACAATAACAGTAGTAATAAATATTAATAATAATAACAGTAACATCAACAACAACAATAGTTATAATAACTTTGATTACCAGTTGCAAAGAAGATGCACACAACGATTTCAGTACTTTGTAAAAATCCTCGTAGTGAACCGAAATTTGATCATCATGAACATCAAAAGCCCTAGCAATAAAACAAAACTTCTATCATCTTTAATCAATCTTACGTCTTTCCAATACAATAACATAAGAATTTTTGCTAAAACGATTAAGGCTATGTTTGTCACACGAGCTGGAACTGGAGGCTAATGTAGAAATTATTGTCTGAATAAAAGACTATTGCCTAGAACTGAACTTTGAATTGCTGAATCTAAATTGTTAACCGAATGAATTAGACCCGTTTGGTAAAAAGAGTCGGAAATTGTCAGAATAATGTGAAATTACACTAGATGACATATGATTTGAAGTCACGTTTTTTTAAGTGTATTAGAATTCCAGATTTTATTTTTATTACAAGAATAACCATTTAAAAAAACAGATAATATGAAACATGGATACATCTTTATTGGATTGAAGTGAAATACTTGATAGTGGATTTAGTGGACAAGTTAGGATGTTTTTACTTGAATTGTTTTTAATCACAGACCAAACAAGACTTAAACAGACTAGATCAGACCATACGAGACTTAAACAAACTAGATAGACCAGACTTAAACAGATCAGACTAGACCAGACTTGATTTATGTAGTTATAAAATACCCAGAGACCACATGTTTGCCAGACCAGTCTTAAATAGACTAGACCAGACTTAAACAGACGAGATCAGACCGACAAATTATATATAGTCCAAGTAAAAACATCGTTAACCGTACATGAAACCGTACATGAGAGCATCAAAGTGAATTTGAAATTGATGTGTTCTTAATTGCTTAATTTCAAAATTCAAGATGCTTGATGGGAGAACGAAGGTCATTGGCAAGACGAAGGGGCAATTTAGGAACTAGGAAGCACAGGCGTTCGACTGCATCAAACATTTAAGTCAACCCATGTAACTTTACTTCAACTCAATTTAATAAAATATTATTAGACATATTTGTTTCCTATTCTGTATTAAACTCTTTTAATATAAATAGACATGTCAGGGCTCCTATTGGAACACCTTTTTTCGTTTATTCACATGGTATCAGAGCCAAATCGATCCATGGTGTGAGGCCCCTTATGAAAAAATGATAATTACGGCCGGATGAAAAAAAACGGACTGATGAAAAAAATGAATGATGACACGATCCAGACGAAAGTGTCTGGTTGTGAGGAGGGGTGTTAAATGTCCCCCACCGGAAAAGATTGGATAAATCAAATGCTATATTAACACATGGGCTATTCCTCTTATCAGGTTGACCTTTTAGGATGGAGCCCTGTGTCTTAACATGGGTATCACGAGCCTAAGGAAAAACCCTATTTTTTTCGTCTCTCTCACAATCGATGCAGCCATGTCACAGCTGCAGCTCTCCATGGCGCCGATCATCTCCTCCGATGTGTCCTCGCCGCTCTCTTCTGCTGAAGACACGCAATCGACACATTCTCTTCGTCGATTGTCACCACTGCTACTGCTCTGGAGTCTTCTCAACCGACGCACCACTCTTTTCCCATGGCATCAGAACTCCATTCTTATTCTGCCGAACCGCAATATTCTCTCTTCGAAACCTTGCCGCCACAATTTCCATGGCAGCAGGTTGGTTCCGGCATGACTCCAGCCAGTCCCCAACCACAACCGCAAGTTATGTGGCAGCAACCCGGTCCAGCTCTTCCCCCAATCACATCAAATCCGCAGCCGCAGATGATTCTCCCTCAGGTCACGCCAAATCCGCAGCCGGTCAGCACTCCATACTTCGGCCCGTCCTTTGCTGGTTCGCCTGGAATCACTCGTCCTGCACAGGATAATCTGTTGTTTGGTTCTCCTATGGCAGCATTGGCACAATCAGTTTCACACGGAATTGCTAATGTCTGCCAGATTGTGACTATTAAGCTTATAGCGGTGGAAGATTATCTTACATGGAGGACTCTGTTTGAGTCATTCCTCATGTCAGCGGACTTTTTGGTATTGTAGACGGCACAATTCAGGTACCTTCCATGTATACTTTGGATTTTAATAATCAGCGCATCGTTAATACTGATTATTATCATTGGCTTCAGGTGGATCAAACAATCTGTTCTTGGTTGTTTGCCACTCTTACTTGGGATGTATTAACTGATGTACATGATATTAAACATTCCTTTGGTATATGGGCAAGGTTGCAATCCCGTTTTATGTCTGCCAGTTTACCTAGAGCTATGGAACTCAAACGTTTATTGTCCAATACAAAAAAGAAACCAAATCAATCTATGGAACACTATTTACGTGATATTAAAAATCTGGCTGATGCTTTAGCTGCAATAAACTCTCCTGTGACCGATAAAGAATTACTTCAAAGCACACTTAGCCTAAAGCATCAAAGAAGTAGCTTCGAGAACCCAAATTTAAAAATGAAAAAACATAAATACTCCAAATGTTTTAATAGTTAATTGTATTTTTCTTGTGACAATATACTTAATGTGTGGTTTTATGCTCATTTTAAAATGTCACATTGGTGCATATTTCAACTCTCATGTGAGGAAGCGGTCCATCTCAACTGGTTGCCGACTAACTCTCCCTTATGGGAGGTCCCGGGTTCGAAACTCAATGGAGTAAGTTTCAACACACTTTACTCCAGGCTCCCCCAGACCCCCCAGACCCCCTGAAGCCCCCTGGAGTAAAAAAAAGATCATGATACTCAATTGCGCGCATGCTTCTAATACTCAATAAAGAAGGTTTGATGCTCAATGAAAATGTCTTGATGCTCAACTATCAAGCTTATTATTTTCATATCAATGCTCATTTATAAGTTATGTATACGCATTTGGTAGTGGCGTTATGCGCATTTTAAAATGTCATATCAATGTTTATTTCAAAAATAGCATATTACATTAGATGTGTGTGTTGAAATTCGTAGGAGTTCATTATAGATATAATTTATTTGAGATTTTTTTATAAAAGAAAAAATAAGATAAAGAAATAGAATCAAAAGGTATAAAGCAGAGATCACGATGCTCATTGTTAGACTCCTAATACTCAGCAAGAAATGTTCAATGCTAATTAAAATTGCATCAATGCTCATTTAAGAGAAATATTAATTTCCACCAAAATTACGAAATTGCCACCGATTGTACGGAGCAAGGCCGTACATCTGGCTGTACTTTATACACACTTGAATGTAGATGTGAGAAAAAAGTGAAATACCTCACAACACCCAGAGCCTCGAGGAAGATGTGAACTGATGCAGGTTGATCAGTAAACCATCGAGGTAAACCATTCATAATGATAGTTGGCGACTCTAACAAAAATAGAAGTAAATAAAATGGAAAAAAGAGATGTTAGAGTAAATTCATCACACAATTCATGGAAAAGACACGATATGTTTTAATTTTGTATGAGCTCAATTCAAGTTGAGCTCATTACGTGGCTCGGTAATAGTGATATTCGGGTACGAACTGAAGCTCGGAGAGCTTTATAATTGAGGCTCATGTCTAGAAGTGTAGCTTATGCTCGTTTATAGGCTCATGTTCAAATTATTTGACAAGGGTTCGATTCGTTAATAATCATATTTGCTTTCAGCATGCTCGAGTTCGAATGGAGCCTAACATACAACAATGCTCGAACTCGGATCGTCGGATCCGAAATCGAGCTCGAGCATCAAACAAAGACAATGAGAAAACAAAAGGGAAAAGTTAAGGAAACCTTGATTATCGGCCGGGATGCTTGAAAGGGAAGCCATCATTTGATCGGGATCTTCTTCGGATGGCAAGGTCAGCTCAACTTGATAGGGGGCACCCATATATTTGACTTTATATGTGCCATGATCCTTGAGCAAGCAATTCCTTAGGCCCAAGCGAAACTCCTCAGATACCAATCTCTCATCCCTATAGAAGAAGTGGCCATCTGCTAAGACCCACCTCTCTTTGCCTTCATCAGTAACAGTCCATTTGAAGGGAGACACAATATGAACGTGAATGTCATGAAATGGAATTGTGAGAGGCTTGGGAAAAACATAACAACCCCGTATGCCATTAGAGACAATAATTTTTACATTGGACACATCCACAGGCCTGACAATGGAACCCATGCAGCCAAGAGTGTAGTTGAACTTTAAGCGTGGAACCAATGATAAGGACAAATCTTCATCCACTTTTATACATTCTGGTGGAGGAGGAAATGGCATGTAGGGGATGGCCTTTGGGATTTGAACTGGAGCATCCACAGTTGTTTCTTTCTTCCCAGCATCCATCAAAACAGAAGTACTTTTGCATTCATTTTCACCATATGATTCCTTAGCTGAAGAAGTTTTTTCACTTTCATCTGCCACAGTTTTTCATGAAAAATTAACACATAACAATCACCAGTTTTTTATGTCATAAACAACTAACATCGAATCCGTGCAATTTTTGTAGAGATGGAAAGAATAATGAGAATCATAGTAACCCATTGATCAATAAGATTTGTGTGAACTCGTATCATCACAAGTTGATCAAAGTTCAGGGCTTTTGTTATTATGATGACAGAGCAATTTCGAGACAGGAAGTTCACAATGCTGCTTTAAGCTACTGTCTTGAACAAGCTATTGAACATGGGTTAGACTTATGCTCTTGGACCTCTTGGTCAACTTTATTAAAAAATGATCTTATCAATTCACAACCTTAAAGATAAAGGTGTCGATATATATGGCACTAAAAATCCAAGACTTAAAATCCCCTGTTTTTTAAATACCCGAGTATTAAATATTATTTAATCATATTAAACTAATAAATTTTTATGAAGTTAAAATCATCAAATGTTTAACAATGGAGTTAATAAAAAATAAATAAATCAAAATATATGATATTTAGGTCTTAGATGGATTGATAAAATTTCTCAAAAAAACTAATGTCTAATTTAATCAAAATTCCAAGTATTGATATGATTGCGTTTTGATACTTTAACTCTTAAATGAGTCAAATAATAACCACAACTGTACATAAATGTTTAAACATAGAGTATTGTGGGAAAATATTCAATTAGGAAAAGGAATATCAATAAAATTGCAAAATACAAAACATAATGAACTCAGTAAGATTCACTTGATACTTCGTACCATGTTTACTAAAATTTTTAAACCGGCAATTTCATACGAGTATACTGATATGCAAAATCACGAAATATATTTAATCACAAATCATGAAATAGCAGACCATAAATTAAAGAAGAAAACCAAAACCAACCTGACCCTTCAGGCTCAATGTTATCTTGGGTTTTAATTTTTTGATGTCTGACGGAGGGAAATAAATTGTTGCCTGCAGGTCTCAAGTTGGATGCCTTTAGGCTTAAGTTTTAATTTGCAAGACTATATATCTCACTCTCACAGAGCCATGCACTGATGGATGGAATATTTTGCTTAAAGATTAAGGCTTTGTTTAGCTATTTTTGCTTAAAGATTAAGGCTTTGTTGTGAAAACGGGTTGTGGATAGCGACCCAGGTTGAATTAGTGATTTTAATTAGCTTATTATGTTGACTTAAGGATAACTTAAGTAAGGAATTGTTTGGTCGATTTAAGGATAACTTATAGAGGTTAAAATGACCCATAAGTTCACTAGTACATACGGAGTATATATTTTTATTTGTTATTATTGCTTATAGGCGGTTATAAGAATAGTATTTGTAATTATTACTTATATATGATTGAAATAAATGGAAAAGCGCAGAAAAAGTATTTGTGATTTAACAACCCGTTTTCAGATAAAGTCATATGTTTCATTTTTGTCAAAATGATTCATGTGTTTAAATTATGGATGGACCGGGACGGGCCAGCCCGACATCCAGCGCAGTCCTCTTTAGATCCGGAGCCCGGCCCAATGGCTATAAAGGTCGGGCTTCGGGCTCGTTTTTTAGGTAAGACCCAGTCCGGCCCAATGGAAAAATTTTGAGACTAAAAACCTCCATCAGCCACAACCGTATATTTAGATTTTTTTTATATATGTAATATCGGTGTCATACCAAAGATAATAACAATTTATGAACTTTGAAACATATTCTTTTGTGAAATCCGGATTACAAATAAAATACGTTATACCAATTTTAATAAAGAGGGCTTTTTGAGCGCCCTTTGTGCTTTCTTCTTTCTCCTAACTTGCTAACGTCCTTTGTATTTTCTTATTTTTAAGAGAGAAAGTAGTTAACTGAGCTTTTTTGTTGACTCAATTTAAGTTGTTTTTAAATAAATGTTTTTGAACTTAATGTCTCCTTATTAACACTTTTAACCAATAAACAAAAAGTCTACTAATTGTAGCATGTTCATTTTTTTGTGTGTGTATACTGATGTCATATGAAAGACAATAAAAATTCACGGATTAAGAAAAATAACCCTTTAAAATTAATTACTTAGAAGATGAAATGGGAAGACGACATAATTATCATATGACTAGGGGAAAACAGCCTTTTAAAAATTAATTGTTTAGTTCAATCTAATAACTACAAGTGCTTAACCAAAATGAATCTGGAGTATATGAGAACAATAATCTTCTAAGCACCCCCAAATTATTTCAATAAATCAGTTTAATTTTTTAAATAACTTTGAAATCATTCATAAAAATAGGAAAAAGAGTGAAACATCATAAAATGCAAGTTGAAAAATTGATACAGTAAGTCTGCATGCATGTGTTAAAATTTGCTATATGCCTATATACACATTTGCCTTAATGATATCTCAAATCTATATGCACCTTTCTAAGTGAGAATATTTTGTAATTGGAACAATTGTTTCATCTATGAAAGTAAAAGTTATTTTTTACTTTAGTGTATATATTAATATAATCTTGATATATTTTCACCGAGAGTTCCAGCTCTCTGACATTTTATTAATTACATTTATAACAATCATTCCTAACACTGAAAGTGTTGTTCAAGAACTAGATAAATAAGCTAGACTGAGTATAAAAGGTAATTCTTTTACTCATGGATGTAATTTTCATGAAAATTGAGATCATTTTATATTTTCTAAATATGGGACGTGTGTTTTTTATTTTTTATTGCATAGTTTCACATGTTTATGTTTCGATTGTAGCTACCTCTTGATGTGATGAGAATGTTTTTATAGGTTTTATTTATCCATTTGACCTTCTAGGTAAACACTGTCTATTAAAAGTCTAAAGCATGTTACTTCAAAAAAAAGTCTAAAGCATGTTACCGTTCTTCATTCAATAACACTTATTTTATTTAATAAAATCATATTGTCGCCGTCATCACCTTCATTAAATTAAAATGTCACAAAAATATACTCCTTCCCTCCCGCTAAGATTGTCCCATACCAAATTTGGTAAAGTTTGTGTGCCTCTAAATCATTCTTACTTTATTCTTACTTTAATATCAACCACACAAACCCACTTTTCTTAATAATCGTGTCACTTTCTCTTATCCCAATCTTAGTGGGACGAAGGTAGTACTACGTATATTCTAAACCTTTTTCCTAAAGAAAGAGGCCAAAGGACTAATTTGCAAAATTCTGAAGTCTAGAAGAGCTAATATCTTTAAAAAAAAATTGACTGTACACATTTTTAGATAAATAAATTACAAAAATGTGTAGTTAGTTTTGAAAAAAAAATAGTGCCACTGTTAAAATTTAGAGCCCATTTGGTAACACGTACATATGCTGATTAGACTAATTCCGTTGAAATTTATGAAGTTCCGACTGAAGTGACTGCATTGACTGATTCTGCTGATTTAAGAAATTATTATTTTTAAAATACATTTTATTAATAAATAATGAAAAAATTATATGTAAAAATAGCTAAAATGGTCATCTGCAGTAACTTCAACCAATACAACCAAAAAAGTAACTCCAATCTTAGTTTTTCTTATTATTACAAAATTCAGCCCGCGAAAACAAAAATTGCGTGTTTGGTGAAAAAGTTGGTTGATAAGCCGAACAACAGTGTTACCAAATGACTTCTTAATAGATAAAAAGCAGTTGAAAAAATAAAAGTGTAGTTAATATGTGAGTATAATAAAGTGAAATATTGTGGATCACATATTTATTTCTAAAAAAATGTACCCGGAGTAACACTTATTTTAGTACAGCCTAAAAGGAAAAAATGAGACAAGTAAGATAAGATGGGATCCCAAATAAGATAGAGAGCCTATACCGTACACCCGGATGTACATGTACATCCGGTATTTTTGTAATTTTTTCTAATTTGAAGAACAGTAATCAGATCCTCCTTCCGTCCACCTCTTTCCCTGTTTCTTCCGTCCGCCTCTTTCCGTGTTTCTTCCGTTCGCCTCTTTCCCTGTGTGTATGTGGACTATGTCCGCACTCGGCAGTTCTTTTTTTCTCAACCACCTTAACCTGCTTTTGCTTTGTAACTTGTAAGTAGTTTTCATTTTTATTTCTCTTTCCGTTTTATCTTAACTACCTTTTCATTGATTTCAATTTATGATGAATATTTAATGTGTTAATGTTTAATTTTTCTATTTTTAATTTAACATGAATATTTATTAATTTATGGTAAATCCGAATATGATTTAACTTCAATTCTTTGTAATTAAATTTTCAATAGTTTTGCTTATTTCCTGCACTTTTGTAATCCACTACAGGTTGCTTGCAATAGATATCATTGGAAATTGTGTTTGGTCTGGTTTGACCGTGGCAAAAAGAACTAAAGTAGTAAAAAAACATGATATTCAATTGAAAATGCTTTTGATTCTAAATGAAATTTTGTATGCACACTTTAAGAATTCTAATATTCATTACACATAATCTTGATACTCAATAGTAGAAAACAATATACTCAATGAGAATGTTTTTATACTCAAATGAGACTTTTAAATTATGTGTATTCAATTGCAATATTGTACTCTATGGAGGGCGTTTGATGCTCAATGAGCAATATTGTACTTTTAGTGAACATCTGGTCTATTTTATTGAGTATTAGGATGCTAACAATGAGTATCACGATCTCTGCTTCATATCTTCTAATCTTTTTTTTCTTTTATAAAAACTTATTAAATTATATCTACAATCCACTCTTATTAATTTCAATATGCGAGTGTAATGTAATATGATACTTTTAAAATATGCATTTATATGACATTATAAAAATGAGCATAACATCAGTACCAAATGAGCATACGTAACATACAAAGTGCACATTGATAAGAAAATCGTAAGATTTGTAAGTTGAACATCATGACATTTTAATTGACCATCAACCTCCACTATTGAGATGAAAATCACGACTTCTGAAGAATGAGTAATATTGAACTTTTAATGAGCATCAATCCTATTGTATTGAGTATTAGGAGTCCAATATTCAGAATCGTGATCTCTGCTTCATAACTTTTAATTCACTTTCTTTTTGTTATTTTTCTTTTATAAAAATTAATTACATTATATTTATAATCAACTCCTATGAATTTCAATATGTGAATCTAATGTAGAATAGTACTTTTAAAAAAGCATTGATATGACATTTACAAAATGAGCATAAGATCAGCACCAGATGAGCATACATAACTTACAAAATGAGTATTAATGAATTTGTTAGTTGCTTTGTTAGTTGAACATCACGACATTTTAATTGAGCATTAATGAACTTTTAATGAGCATTAATGAACTTTTAATGAGCATCAGACCTATTATGTTGAGTATTAGAAGTTTAATAATCAGAATCGTGATATCTGCTTCATAACTTCTAAGTCATTTTTTTTTAATTATTTTTTGGTTTATAAAAACTTAATAAGTAACTTAAGTAACGTCAATATCAAATGAGCATAAGTAACTTACAATATGAGTATTACACCAAGATAAAATGAGCATACATACTTACAAAACGAGTATCGAAAAAATTCAAAAAACTCACTTAAAATCTCCAGTATGCTCAAATAGTAAATGAGAATGCATAACCTATGAAATGAGCATCGAAAAAACTAAAATGAGCATTACACCAATATGCATGAGTATGACATTTTGAAATGTATGGTGTAATGCTCATTTTAAAATGAGTATTATACCAATATCAAATGAGTATAGATAACTTACGAAATGAGTATGTAAATGATATTTTAAAATTAGCATAAAACCGATATCAAATGAGTATATGTAACTTACAAAATGAGTTATATAAAATCAAAACATCAATTCATAAAATATTTTATAATTGAATAACATTAAAGTAAAAAAAACGAAAGTGAAAAGAGAGAAGGAAACAAGTTAAAGCAGGAAAGGAAGAAAAGAAAAAACAAAACAAAAAAACGTAAGCAGAACAAAGCAAACATCGCAGAACTCTTCGTCGAAGCAGGCCAAACATCGACACCTCCTCCGTCGATTCCCAGGACATCAGTGTGCGCAGCAAACAGAACTCTTCGGCGGCTTCTTCATCCCTAACCTTTATCATCTGAGTTGTAATTAATTTCAAAAATACCCGGTTGTACGGTGAGAACCGTACAACCGGGTGTACGGTATATTTTGCGAATAAGATAGATAGGGTAATATATTTCTCCATAAATTACATTCCAGTAATATTTAAGCAAAACCTCTTAAATAAAATCAAATTGTTTACAATGTATTAAAGTAGATAATGCAGATTTATAAATAAAAAATGTAGATAATGCGAATTGGAGGGAAGATCTACAGACTACAAACTTATACAAGCATACTACCGCATACTACCGCATAATGTTAGATGAATATCAACCCCTCCTTACATCTAATATTTCTCCAATTCCATGCTTTCAACGATTTTGAAGGAAGAACATCATGTTTCGTGGTGTCTTCAACATTGGATCAGAGAATTTAGGGTAGTCATCTTTCAAGGGCAATTGTCCCTTCCACATGAGAACATAGGATGTTTTTACTTGGACTGTAATTTGCCCCAGACCAGACCAGACCAGACCAGTCCAGACCAGACCAGTTCAGACCAGACCATTTCAGACCAGACCAGACTTGGATAGTTATAAAAATACAAAGAAACCAGACCTTACCAGACCAGGCCAGACCAGTTCAGACCAGACCAGACCAGATCAGACCAGACCAGACCAACAAATTACAGTCCAAGTAAAAACATCCATAGTCGACAAGACACAAGCCCTCCATCGCCCTCTTCTACACATTATAAAATTAGACTAAGTTAATACATATTTGTCAAATATTCTCAAAATTATGCACAAAATTGTGTAATGACAAACTATTGTAATTGCAAGAGTATATATATAGTTATGGTCATAGCTATTTAACTAGCTCTATAAGTATATAGTAGGAGTAACAATAAGAATAACAATAAAAATAATAATAACAATCACAATAAGTAATACGTAGTAAGTAATACTCCTAATAATACTCCCGTCGTCCCAAAATAAATGTTCTGCTTTCCCAAAATGGATGTCCCAAAATAAATGTCCTACTTCTTTAACTTCCTTATTTGGTAAACAAATCTATACCAAACAGTGTCAAACAGTGCAAAACAATGTCAAACAGTGTCATTATAGTGCCAAACAGTGGCGCTATGCGCGCCTAGTCAAATTTATTTCCTTAATCTGTGTGAAGTCAAAGTAGGACGTTATTTCGGGACGGAGGGAGTATAATAACAATAATAATATCTTTGATTACCAGTTGCAAAGAAGATGCACACAACGATTTCAATGCTTTGTAACAATCTTCGTAGTGAACCGAGATTTTATCATTGTCAACATCAAAAGCCCTAGCAATAAAAAACAACTTCTATCATCTCTAAATCTCTAATCAATCTTACGTCTTTCCAATATAATAACATAAGAGTTCTTGCTAAAAAGGTTAAAGCCCAAAAGAAGAAACTTCCAGAACCCAAATTTTAAAATGAAAAAACATAAATACTCCAAAATTAATAAATTTCATTTTTTTTAGAAGTTAACTGTATTTTTCTTGTGACAATATACATACTCTAAATGAATTGTTACAAACTGGTCTTCGTGTCTATATAATACATATAATAACACAAATAATAAATTACAAATAATGATTCAAAGAATGAAATGTGAGAAAATAAAGTACATACCTCACCACACCCAGAGTCTCGAGGAAGGTGCGTACTGATGCAGGTTCATCGGTAAACCATTGAGGCAAATCTTTAATAATGATAGTAGGTGACTCTAAGAGAAATAAAAGTAATTAGTAAAAGGAAAGGACGAGATGTTAGAGTAGATACATCACACAATTTTCAGAAAATATATGATTTGCTTTCATTTTATGAAACCACTCGTTCTCAAACTATGTTGATTGTTTTTGGTTCAGTATGTCAAGATCAGTTTCATTCTACAAGGTTAACCTTTTTTTAACCGTTCTACAAGGTTAACGTGATAAGAGGAATAACTCAAATTTTAATATAACACTTTATTACTTACTATTTTCCGGTGTGAGACTTTAACACCCATTTTCACGACTAGACACTTCTATTGGATCGTGTCGTCATTCATTTTTCCATAGACTCATCTTTTTCATTTTTACTAATGATCATCATTTTCATAGGGGCCCAAGCCATGATTATGGAATGATGTTAAGATCTGTGATTCCATCCTATAGGTCAGCAAATTGAATTTGTTAAAGTCCCACAACTCAACTAAATAATACTTTATTATTCCACTATTTTCTGGTGTGGGACTTTAACAAATTCAATTTGAGCTCATATGTGGCTCGGTTAACGAGTCTAGCCGAGCCCAAACACCCAGAGTTCGAGTTCATCTCAATTTAATAATAGTGACATTCGGGTTCGAGCTGAAAGGTCGACGAGCTTTACAAATGAGCTTCAAATTCGCCTCAGCACATGTTCGGTGTTCGAACCGAACACTCGATAAGCTCATAAAATATACTCATGTTCGAATTATTGGACCAAGTGCTCGGTTCATTAATAATCATATTTACATTTATAAAAGCACACTAATTGCGTTTAAATTTCAATATGTACCTAATTTGTCCTTTCGTTTCAAGGCGTTCAACATGCTTGGGCTCGAAAGGAGCCTAAAATACAATGATGCTCGACCTCGGCTTGAATACATATATGTACTCAAAACTCAGCTCATGTTTGAGCACAAAGCTCGTTCAGCTCGGATCTTCAGATTTGAAATCTAGCCCGAGCTCGAAAACAAAGACAATGAGAAAAGAAAAGGGAAGAAAACCTTGATTATCAGCCGGGGTGTTTGAAAGGGAAGCCATCATTTGATCGGGATCTTCTTCAGATGGCAAGGTCAGCTCAACTTGATAGGTGCACTACAAAAAAAGTGCACATAGACTGCACATGGACCACAATTTTTTTTGCGATGGCAGCATAACTGTCGTTAAAAACACCATTAACCACACATTTTTTTATTCACCACGCACAAAACTGTGGTAAAAGCTTAGAGCCGACAGTTTTTAACTGTGGCCAATGTTTTTACCACAGCTGTTGTGCCAACGCACGTAAAACTGTCGCAAAACTGTCGTAAAAACATAAGGAGGGTCATTTACGACAGTTTTGCGTCAGTTTTGCCTGCGTCGCCACAACAGCCGTGGTAAATACATTGGCCACGGTTAAAAACTGTCGCCTCTGACCTTTTACCACAGTTTTGTGTGTGGTAAACAAAATAAAGTGTGGTTAATGGGGCTTTTAACGACAGTTATGCACTTATGCGGCCATCGCAAAAAAAAAAATTGGTCTAAGTGTGGTCTATGTTCACTTTTCTTGTAGTGGTGGCACCCATTAATATCATTCTATATGTGCCATGTTCCTTCAGCAAGTAATTCCTGAGGCCCAAGCGAAACTCCTCAGATACCAATCTTTGATCCCTAAAGAAGAAGTGACCATCTGCTAAGATCCACCTCTCTTTGCCTTCATCAGTAACAGTCCATTTGAAGGGAGACACAATATGAATGCGAATGTCATCAAAGGGAATTGTGATAGGACTGGGAAAAACATAAAATTTCTCTAAGCCATGAGAGATTATAATTTTTACATTAAACACATCTACGGGTCTGACAAAGGAACCCATGCAACCAAGGGTGTAGTTGAACTTAATGCGTGGAACCAATGATAAGGACAAATCTTCATTAAGTTTTATACATTCTGGTGGAGGAGGAAATGGCATGTGGGGGATGGCCTTTGGGATTGGAACTGGAGCATCTGCAGTTGTTTCTTCCTTCCTGGCATCCATCAAAGCAGAAGCAGTTTTGGATTCATTTTCACTATATGCCCTCTTAGCTGAGGAATTCTTTTCACTTTCATCTGCAAATATTTTTCTTGAAAAATTAACACATAACAATCACCAATATAATGTCATAAACAACTCACTTCTGCACATTTTTTTTTTTGTAAAGAAAGAAACAAAAATGGGAACCATAGGAACCAATAGATCAGTAGAATTTATGATGATAGAGCAATTTTGAGACAGGAAGTTCACAATGCTGCTTGAAGGTACTGTCTAGTAAAAGCTATATTGAAGATGGGTGAACCTTATGCTCCTGGTCAGCCTTAGTAAACAAACCAGTGTCTAAGTTCATCAGAACTAATTCCAGCTTTGAGCCATTTTGCATTTACATTCAAGATACTGCCCTCCACCATAGTACACCACATCATACAGAGACTGGTAGACAAGTAGTTTCAGCCAAGCAACACAAACACATTGCTAGTCCATATGCATATATACTCCCCCCAGTCAAAATAGACATCCAACTACTACTGATCAATATGCACCCAAAAGAATATCCCAATAAAACCATCTCCAAAAGCAGCAATCATACCCAACATGGCAGGCCGTAAAAATCAATGCAAATTCTAGAAGAAGCAATATTTACTCGGGGTCTTGTGTTCATGATCAGATGCATCTTGGCCATCCAAATGGATCTTGTCTTGGGCATCATTATCCCGTTCATAACCTACAATGGTTCCACATATCAAATCACTTCAAGATGAAAGATCAAATGGATAAACTAACAAGAAATCTCATAAAGTAAAAAACATTTTTGCTCGGTGAAATGCAAGAAGCGATACTTCAAACTATTGATGGTGTTGCATTTTGATACCTTACCTCTTAAATAAATCAAATAAATACCATAACTGTACGTTTAAAAATATTGTGGGAGAAATGTCAATTAGGATTTGGAATTTCAACAAATAGACCACAACTAATACAACACATTAGAAACTCAGCAAGAATAATCAACTAATACTTCGTACTATGTTTATTAAAATTTTAAACTGGCAATTCATATACTGATAATCTGATATGCAAAATATCCGTAAATTTAATAACAATTCATGAAGTAGCAGAACATAAAGAAGAAACCAACCTGATCGTTCAGGCTCAATGTTATCTTGGGTTTTCATTTTTTAATTTCGATGGAAGGAAATAAATTGTTGCCTGGTCTGAAGTTGGATACCTTTAGGCGTAAGTTTGCCAGACTAGTATTTCACACTCTCACAGTGCCATGCACTAGATGGAATATTTTGCTTAAAGATTAAGGCTTTGTTTGGCTCGACAGTTAAGTTATTAGCTGATTGTGATAACGACAGCCACATACAAGGGTTGAATTAGCGGTTTTAATTGGCTGATTATGTTAACTTATTGTAAGTAACTGTCTCATAAAATGACTATTTAAGTATACCTTATAGTGTAAAATGACACATATGGTCATTAGTATATACCAAATATTTGTTATTATTTGTTATTTCTTATAACAATATTATTTGGAATAATTACATATATATGACATATATTATTTGGCGTTGATTTTTACGGCCGGCTATGTTGGGTATGACTTACTCGTTCTTTTTTTAGTTGCAACACTCACTTTTTCACGTTTGTCAACACACAAATGACAATTCAATATTTAATTCTGTATTTGTAAAAAATAATTAAAAATCAGATTATGAAACTTAGCAGTGAGGTGAAATTAACAATACAGAGTATTTTTCAAAAAATAATAATTCACACACAATAATAAATAAAATATAGTCCAAATATAGTATATGAATAGTGTATAAATTTCAATACTGCAATTAATCCAGGGATAGTGATGAAGTATATGGCCCAAGAACCCCCGGCCCATAAACTCTTGCTTCTACGACACAGGCCCATCAAGCCCAATGATCACACAAAGCCCAAAACACAGCGGCCCGAGTGTTAGGAAGCCCACAACGCACATATGGGTGCCCTTGGCTCTATGGCCTAAATCCACAGGACAACCAGTTTCGAGCATACAAAGCTGTTGGATGAAAACGGCGGAAAACAGTAGCCTTCGGCTACTGGGTGCCCTCAGCACACACAAGCCTTCGGCACATGGGTAGCCTTCGGCACATGGGTAGCCTTCGGCCATATGATCCAGGCCGAAGGGTCTACGCCCCACGAAGCTTCCTCTCTCCGGGAGACAAGAAATCACCGCATTTAATGCAGCGTCATGTCCAACCACCGCATTTAATGCGGTGCACATTCATATGCCGGTGCCACCCCGATTGAGGTGACCTCTCGGCCGTCAGATTGTTGACACGTGTACTCTCATCGCATTTATGGTTGCTATAAATAGCAGCCCTTATTCCTCTTGTAAAGGATCCAAGAACAAGTGTATTTTATACACTTGGCTCTCTCTCTCTCTTACGTGTTTGCTTTGACTTCTCTCTAAGTTATTCCCCGTAATAACCTCTCGGCTAAGTTACCCCCGGGTACACTATCCATTAGATAGTATAATACAACTTCCGTCCTAATTTATGTGTCTTGTTTTGGTTTGATATAATTATTAATAAAGTGATTGAAAAAATGAAAATTATGATTGGAATGTGAGTAATAAAATGAATTATTTTGAACCACATATTTATTTCAAAAAAAGAAGAAATATGACACTTGTTTTGAAACAAAAAAAGAGTGAGATAAGTAAAATCAAATGAAGGTATAATATCTTTGTCCATAAAATACATTCCATTAATATTTAAGCAAAACCTCTTAAATAAAATCAGTAAAGTATATAATGCAGATTTATCAAAGAAAAATGTAGATAATGCGAATTGGAGGGAGGATCTACTTATACAAGCATAATGCATACAACTGATACAACGTACAAGATAAAACGTACAAGAAAATTTTCTGGGTAAACGTGAGGCTCCAATGGAAGCTGCCATACGAATACGATGATACGAAGGAAGAATTGTAAAGAATCATAATTTTAATTCTTCAACTCTCGAATTTCTGGGGGAAAAAATAATAATGGCGTCTTTTACTATGATTCAGCAACTGTCCCAATTTCCAGTCTCCGCGAACAACCGCCATCGGAGCCGACTGCTCCACCGCCTGGTCAGTGGTCTCTGCCCGAATGCTCCCGACCTTCTCTTTTCCTTCTTCTGGTATTGATTAAGCTTTTAGTTTACTGTAAACAGGCTATTGTCGCAAGAAGAAACAGAACAATTATCAGAGCTGAAATTTCTGCTACTGGAGCTGCCAGTCTCGTTGATGCTTCTTCAACTACAGCTACTCTTCTTGAGCCCTTTGACTCTTCTCCTTTTTCCTTTCCACTCTTTGAACCCCCTTCTCAGCCCGAAGAATCTCCTGCTTCTCAGGTTCTCTCCTCTAATCTGGACTTTTTTTAGATAAAATGGTCCTGCTAACTACAGTCCTTAGAGCTATGTTTGAGCATCAATGGATGAAAATTATTCTTCTACCATTAAGCCATTAAATAACTAAACCATCAAAGAGTATTCTCCATGTTTGATACTCCAACAACAAAATAATTCAATTAAGTGTCTCATTAATCATTAGACATTGAATGTATCTTGAAAATTTTGTAGAATGTTATATCTATCATCAATGCTTAAACATAACTTTAGAGTATGTGGGTATGGCTCCATTTGCAAAAAAAATAGCAAAGTGTCAATCTTTTAGTCTTAATCAGCAGCATACTTGTTTTTGTCTGTATTGTTCACATTATATGGTATGGTAAGCACATGTTGGATTTAAAGAGGTATCTTCTAAATTTGATGTTTCTAGCAGATGACATTATCCCATGTAGTTTTGACTGAGCATTCAGCATTTCGGAATTGGTTATATTTTTGAGATTTTTATGTACTCTATACTATGCATCTTATTTTTAAGTTGTTGAGCTTTTATTACGGGTTTTACATGATTCTCTATTTTATAATGTCATGATGGTAGTAATTACAATTTATAAAGAATAAAGATGGTTATTTTTTTCTTTCTGAAATGCATAAAGCAATAATTGCTCACAGATTAGAGAACCCTTTAATCGATACCGTCTCTTGATCTGTATTAACGTATTGGCTTTATAAAGTGTTTTAGCGGTTTCATGTAGTAATGTTTTGTGTTAATCAGTTGCAGTTAAGTTGAATTGTATTCTTTGAGTAGATTTGTAAAACATTTATATTGCTTTTCTCACTTAATAAATAAATAAGTAGTTGGAGCTGGCAGACCCCGATTTCTACAGGATAGGGTTTGTGAGAAGCTTCAGAGCGTATGGAGTTGAGTTCAGGGAAGGACCTTGTGGGTTTGGAGTATTCGCTTCCAAAGACGTTGAGCCTCTTCGTCGTGCCCGTGTGAGCTTTGCAAAACTTACTCATTAAATTTATTTTCCTTCCCAAACATTTTAATTATGTTTTGTCTTATTTTGACTTCAGTTATATATAGAACTAGTGACAAATATACGACTACAAGATGGACAAATTTATGATTTCTTAAGTACATTGATCATACTTGTATTTTCGCATGACTATAGTGACCATGATGATGTTCAATTATACACTATAGTGACCACAATGGTATTTTCCTAGTGACTTTGCAGTGAATTTTGGTAATGAGTTTAACTTTCATAAATTTATAGGATAGCTCCCTTATATATTCTATAATTGCAGATGATCATGGAAGTCCCGTTAGAGTTGATGTTAACAATAACTCAAAAGCTTCCATGGATGTTTTTCCCAGACATAATACCTATTGGCCATCCTATATTTGACATTATCAACTCCACAAATCCAGAGGTATAAGCAGTATCTTATGTAATTGGGTCATTTTTAATTTATTTATTAACTGTTGTTTGAATTGTGTTAATGTGTTACTTCTTTACTTCTATTCAGACAGATTGGGACCTTAGGTTGGCATGCCTTCTTCTGTATGCCTTTGATTGCAAAGACAACTTTTGGCAACTCTATGGTGACTTCTTGCCAAGTGCTGAGGAATGCACTAGCTTGCTTCTAGCTGATGAGGTGTTTGCATATGTGTTCTTCAGACCTATTTTAATCTAATACTCCGTACTACATATAAAAAGTTCTTACATTCTAATCAAACAATACTACACTTGTGTTGTTCATTAAGGTCACATTTGGAACTCAAAATACTGGGAAATAAAATGGGGCGGAAAAAAGAAAAGATCAGTAAGAAAAGTTAAATAAAATGGGGCATGTCGAGAAAAATATAAAATATTGGGCTGTACTAAAAAATGATTTTTGATATTTGTTCAAACTCATTTTAATTTTTTACGCGATGGATACTAATAAATCTATCTATATGTATAGGTTATATATTTTTTCATTTTCGAAGATAAATCCAGACAAAAGAAAATAACTTTTCCATTTTTACTCTGCCTAGCATTTTCCATGATCCAAAGATACTATAAGTGTTAAGAATATTATTTTGGACTTCAACATAACTACAGAAGCACTTCCATCTTTCAGTTAGTAAAGTTATACCTTTTGATATCTTCAAACCTATGTTTGGAATCTTGGATTTGAAGGGCTAGGGGAGGGAGTGTTTCTTTTTTACTTTTTTATTTATTACTTTAAGCTAAGTTTTCAACATCACAGTCATTTACTCATTACCATAAAGTCATAGAACTTACGTAGTACTTTATTTTAATTTAGAAGTTAGAGATATCCTCTCCAAACCCCAAACCCCAAACTTAGCTTAAATAAAATGAAGAAGTCAGTAAATATATGGAAACAAGTTATCTTGTATACTGAAGTGAAGGAAGTTGGAATCTATTGTTCTACAAAGACCATCATATTTTTTTTTCATCCAGATATTGTTGAATTTACGATAAAGATATTTACTTCTCACTGTAATTCCATGGTGCTCTTCATCTGTATGCTGCCAGGAGGACCTTTTGGAGTTGCAGGATCAAAATCTAGCTTCCACCATTAGACACCAGCAAGACCGAGCCCTTCAATTTTGGGAAAAGAATTGGGTATAATCTCTCTGTTTTTTACTCATCCTTTGTTGACATCTTGTAGGCTTCTTAGGGTCTGTTTAAATGGGTCTTTTAAGCTTTGGGGAGATAAATGTTTGGAGAGTTTAGTCTATATCTTGATGAGTGGAACATTTAAAAACGAATAAAGGGCTACCTGGAATGTTACACAATTATCTTTTAGGCTTTTACTCATTCCGTCTCAATTCTCATTTGTTAATATAATCAATGTGTTCAGTACCCTGCTGCTCCCCTAAAGATAAAGCGCCTTGCTCC